TATAATTTTGATGTGGTTGTGAGCAGAGGCAAGTACCACAGTTACCTACTCCGCTATCTTGACCAGAAGTTACACCTCATTCTTTCCAAGGTAAACTGTTCTCCCCACCCCTGGCTACCTTAAAGATATTCTTTGGTGTTTTTCACTTTCACTGTGATGTGTTTCATTATGTATTTCTTTTTAGTTATCTGGTTTGGGATGTTGGTACTCCAGGTTTTGTAAATTTGTATCTTTCATCAGTTCTGAAAATTCTCAGCCTTTATCCTTTCAAATATAACCTCAGTACCCTTCTTCTCTTCTTCTGGAATCCAGGTAGATATATTATAGCTCTCTGCTTTTTTTATTTTTTTTTTTTCAGTTTCATTTCTTTGGCCTTTTGTTGATAAATTCTTCAGGTCTATCTTCAGTTAACTGATTTTTCTTCCCAGCTATGTCTAATCTGCTGTTAACTCTGTGTGTAAAGTATAAATTTAACTTCCTATAGATTTTCATTTGTACAAGTTCTATTTGGTTCTTATTAAATTCTATTTGACATTACTTTTTAGTCTCTTGCTTTCTACTCATATACTCAACCCTCTACTTGAGTTTATTAAAATAACTTTGAAACATATTAGACATTATAAATTCTGTGGGAACTCCCTATATTTGAGGTTGTTATGAATTCAATTCTGCTATTTTTCCGTACTGTCTGTCATTCATGGGTCCTTGTTTTCTATGTGTTTTGTAATTCAAAACTGTGAGCTCAGCCCAGGTGGGTGTGGCTCAGTTGGTTGAGTGTTGCCCAGTTCTCCCAAAGGTCAGTTCGATTCCCGGCCAGGGCACATACCCAGGCTTCGGGTTCGATCCTCGGTCAGGGTGCATATGGGAGACAACTGATTGATGTTTCTCTCTCTCTCTCCCTAAAAAAATAATTGATAAAAATATATATTTTTAAAAAGACTGTGAACCCTGGGCGGTTTGGCTCAGTAATTAGAGCATCAGCCCGAGGACCAAAAAGTCTCGGGTTTGATGCCAGTCAAGGATACATACCTCGTTTTTGGTTTGGTTCCCAGCCCTAGTCGGGGTCGTGTGGGAGGCAACGAATCGATGTGTCTCTCTCACATCAATATGTTTCTCTCTCTCTCTCTCCACTCTTCCCACTCTATCTCAGAAGATTAATGGAACAATATCCTTGGGTGAGGATTTTTTTAAAAAAGACTGTGAGCCCGGCTGGTGTGGCTGTGGATTGAGTGTCGTCCCAAGGACTGAGAGGTCCCAGTTCGATTCCTGGTCAGGGCACATGCTGGGGTTGCAAACTTGATCCCCAGTAGGGGGCATGCAGGAGGCAGCCGATTGATGTCTCTCTCTCCCTCTAAGAAATCAATAAAAACATATTTTAAAAATAAGACTGTGAGCTCATATTTCCTGGGATCATATTTGGGGAAGCCTGGGCTGAAGGTCAGTTCCTCCAGGCAGAATCTATGTTTGCTTTTGCCAGATTCCTGGAAGCACTGTTAGCTTAGGACCAACATATAAACTAAATGATCAGTTGCAGTTTTTAGAGGACCTAGGGACTGTGAAATCAAGCTGCAAATCTACACAGGAACCACCCTGTAGTTACAGTCTCAGGGGAGATGCTTTCTGCCTCTTGCCCTCAATGCCAACCACGGTTTGAAACAGGCAATTTACCTGTGTTCCCCCTTGGAGTCCCTAATTTTTAAAAATTGATTTCACAGGAAGGGAGAGGAGAGATGGGGAGATGGGGAGAGAAAGAGAGAGAGAGAGAGAGAGAGAGAGAGAGAGAGAGAGAAACATTGATGTAAGAGAGAAACATTGATCAGTAGCCTCCTGCACACACCCAGCTCGTGACCAAAATCTGAAACCTGGGTATGAGCCCTGACTGAAAATCGAACCCACCACCTTTTGGTGTATAGAATGACACTCCAACCAACTGGGCCACACCGACAAGGGCCTTGAAGTCCCAATTTGTATTGGTGCATGTGTGTGTATTTGTGTGTGGATGTGTGTGTGTGGATGGTACTTGAGTTTCATCACCTGGTGCCTGTGCCTACAGTACCATGAAAAACAAAGGCTCTTTGGCAAATGACTTCCAGTGAAATCTAGCTTCTCAGTGTTTCATCAACCTCTCGAAGTTATCATTTTTGCTTCATTTTTGGCCTCTGTGTCTTCCTTATGAATTTTCCAGCTCTTCAATTCATTTAAAAAGATTTAAAAAATAATTTCATCCACTATTAAAGTTGTTTAGCCACACTGGCAGAAACAGAAGTGCATTTGTGAGTTCCTTAGAGGAAACCCAGGGATACCTGACTTGGGAGATCTGGCTCTGCTCCAACCTCCCCCAGTTAATTCTAAAGCCTCTTACAGTTCTGAGCTGCCCCCACTACCCCAGGGGCCAGCGGGTTAAAGACCAATTATTTTCCAGTTCATCCACTTACTAGGGAAACAATGAAAACTCATGCTGCTTTCCTTACACTCCTCAGACTCTTGCTTTAACTCCCCTTATTCTTGCTTGGGGAAGCACTGGGTAGCTTATAAACCCTCCCCTTCTCTGAGTGTTTGAGTAGTTTTCTTTCTCACATTGATTTTGGGAGTGGGCAGTAGAACATCACATTCCCCACTAGGTGGAGGCCTTGCTATTCTGAGGAATTCTGTTTCTTTCCTAATCTAATCTCTTTATAAGGGAAAAGGGGTGGAGTTGAGGCAATGATTAATAATAGCAGCAGGGCAAATTCAGCACCTGGCCCATTTGTAAGATCTGAGAGTATCTAACCCCAACTGTTTTGCAGAATAATTTCATCTCAGCTCTGGGTCCTGGTTAGCAATTCTGGGACAAAAGGAAAACTATCTCCCCTCAGTAAGTGACTCCATTGCTGCAGCTAATCCCATTGCCTCCCATTGCAAAGTCCACACTGCTTATCACAGCCTCCAAAACCTTGCTCCATCAAACCACCCCAGCTTACTTGTCCACTCACTTCCCTGTCCCTCACTCTGCTACAGCTGCCTTAGACATGTTTCTAAAACACAGTAAGCTCATTTCCAACTCTGGGCTTCTGCACCCTCAGGTGCCTTCAACCTGGAATTCTCTTCTCTCTCATGTTCCTGCAATTGCCGACATCTCCACTACTAAGCACTACCTCAGAGGTCACCTTAGACAACTCATTTATATTTATGAATTATGCTTTCTGCTTGTTCAAGCATTATATTAATGTGGCAGTGGTAGAAAACATTAATTTTTTAAACACCCTTACTATTTTTTAATTTTTTTTTTATTTTTGAAGAAGAGAGGGAGGGGGGCTAAACAGAGAGAGAGAAAGAAAAAGAAACATCGGCCCTGAATGGTTTGGTTCAGTGGTTAGAATGTCGGCCTGCGGACCAGAGATTCTGGGGCTTGGTTCCCGCTGAGGGCACATACCTCGGTTTTGGTTGGTCCCTAGCCCCTGTTGGGATGGTGTGGGTGGCAACCTGTTGATGTGTCTCTCTCATATTGATGTTTCTCTTTCTTTCTCTTCCTCCCTCTCTCCCTCCTACTTTATCTGAATATAAATGCAGGAATGTCCTGAGTGAGGATGGAAAAAAAAAAGAAAGAAACATCAATGTGAGAGAGAAAACAGTGATTGGTTGCCTCCCACACACACTCAGGGGTCAAACCCACAACATGGGTATGTGCCCTGACCGAGAATCGAACCCACCACGTTTTGGTGTACATGTAAAACACAATTATATAAATGTGATGGTTGTAACTGGCTTTCACCTATCTCGGTGTTGAAATTTTCCATCATTTATATCTTGTCCCGAGCACAGAATCCTGAGCAATGAAATACCAAGGAATGAAAGAACATGGTAGTAGCACCATTTGCCTCTGCACACAGACCACGGATTTATCTGAAAGTTCTTTTTTTTTTTTCTTCTCCTAAAATATCTCACCAAGTGTTTCGGGTCAAAGTAGGTTTGGTCTGGTGAGTCAGTGTCCAAACCTCCGGTAAGATGGCATAGAAGAGGCATAGGAATAGCATTTTGTGATGAAGCTGCAACACCCCTTTCACTGTCTTATTCCTATAGCTGAAGTCAGTATCTGAAATTATTCTGTTGAGGCTTTGGCCAGGTAGTTCAGCTGGTTAGAGCATTCTCCTGATATGCCAAGGTTTCCGGTTTGATCTGGGATCAGAGCACACACAAGAATCAATCAAATGACCCAGCCATTGGTGTGGCTTAGTTGGTTGAGCCTCCTCCCATGCACTAAGAGGTCGCTGGTTCAATTCCAGTCAGGGAACATGCGGGGTTTTCTAGTTCTATCCCAGGCGGGAGGCTTGCAGGAAGCAGACAATTGATGCATGGGTGTTTTTTCTTCTCTCTCTCCCTTCCTCTCTCTACAAAATCAATAAAAACATTTAAAAGAATCAACCAATGAATTCGCAAATGAGTAGAACAAATCGATGTTTCTCTCTGAAATTATTATTTTGTTGATCGTTTGTTTTCATTGTCGCCCTTGTCCTCAAGCATGCAAGCCGGTCCTCAAAAGCAGTGTCTTTGCCCTGGCCCGTTTGGCTCAGCGGTTAGGGTGTCCACCTGCGGTCCAGAGAGACCCGGGTTCAGTTACCACCAAGGGAGCGTACCTTGGTTACAGTTTGTCCGCGGCCCTGGTTGGCCATTCAGGTGGCAGTCAATTAGTGTGTCCCTTTCAGGTGGATGTTTCTCTTTGTCTCTCTTCCTCTCTCCCTCCCACTCTATACGGTTGTATCCCGACCCTAGCAACATGCCCCTGGCACAATAGGAGGTGCTCAGACACTATTATAGGAAGAAGTGAAAATGACAGCACTCAGTCCTAGCTCTGTCTCTCTGGGCCCTCACAGCACACGCCACCGCTGCGCCAGGGAAGATGTGCAGTACTCTCAGGAGACCTCTGAAAGGCCGCGCGGGGCCCTCTGGGAAGTGTAGTCCGCGCGCTGGCCCGGACCGGGGTTGCGGGAGCGAGGCTCCGCGTGCGCAGGCGCACTTCCGGCTCTGCCCCGCCACTGCGGCCATTGTCCGGGCCCGGTGCGACTAAGGCGGCTTTGGCCGCACCTCCGTACATCAGAATTGGAGAGGACTGATCCTGAAGCGGGGACGAGAAGAGCCGGCCCAGACGTTGGGTGGGCCTGCGGTCGCTAAATCTGGAAACTCCAGGAGGCAGTGATTCCGAACGTGCGGGTCGGGGCGGCACTTCCCACGGGTTTGGCGCGTGTCCGCGGGGCCGCGCCCACCATCCTGCGGGTGGGGCTGGGCGTGGCCAGAAGAGGGTGTGCTGGACGCGGTGAGCCTTTAATTTGGAGAAGGGTAGCGGCGGGCCCACGCTGGGGCCCAGGCACCTCTCCACCCCTCTCCTGGGAGAAAAGTGTCTGAGGGACGGAGGCGGGAACGAAGGGAAGGGGTGGTGCCGGCGGTTTCAGTGGGGTGAGTAGGCCCTTTCTTTTCTCCCCAGTCCCTGTCTGGGAACCTGGCCCTGAGAAGAAGGAATGGCCCCGAGGCCTCCGACGGCCGCGCCCCAGGTGAGCAGCGCGGACTTTTCTACTTCTGGGCGTGTTTGGAGCCATCGTTCTCCTTTGGAGACTCCGTTTCCTGGCTCGGTCGTCCCCTCAGAGACTTCTAGCTATGTGAAACCTAAGGTGTCCAGAGTTTGGGGGGGAGCGGACTTCCCAAAAGGGGGACTGTAGTGGGGGGAGGAAGGGAAGAGGGCTGTGCGGTCTTCTGGGAGGAGTTAAGAGTGGATGTGTTGGAAAGTATCAATGTTGAAAATGCATGTCCTAAACCAGTTCCTTGAACTCTTGTCAATAAGGAATGGAGAGGGTGGGGTTACAGGATAGACAGCTGTACTAGAGGAAGTGACTGCCAGTGAGTGAGTGAAGGAGAGAGGAGCCAAGCTTCTGACCCAGGAGCCATGCACAAACCTAAGGGTCCTAAGAAGCTTGGTCTGGATTTGCAGCAGAAGAGGCTGGAGACAGGCTTTCTTGGGCAAGGGGCCGGGGGGGGGGGTGTTTGTCTCATAACTTTTCATGTCTTTTTCTGCTTTAAGAAGGTATAGTAGTGCACATCCGCAGATGTTCAGCCTTCAGTGTAATGAGTATGAAGATGAATTGTGAACCCATTTGTTCTTGTTAGGGAGAAGGTATTCTGAGCATCACAAATCTGAGGTTGTCCACTGGTTTACGTAGAGCATATAGGTACAAATGTATCAAGGCCGAGATGGTATTTTAATCCACAACCTCTTTAGAATTAAGGGAAAATCAGATTCTAATGGCTCTGTGTGTGAGACAAGAGTAATCCAGGTAAAAATGCCAACTAGTAATGTCCTTTAAAAGCATTTTACAGTAAATTTAACACACCATATAAGTGATATAAGATGCCTGTATATCTACTACTTCCTGTTACATGTTTTTGTTTTACAGGGGTGAGCCTTAAGGAATAAGATGAGTAAAAACATTAGAATAAGACAGTTATTGAGTTTGAGGCGAGCCAGAGCAAATCACTGTCATCAGCACCTTTCTATGCAAAGTGTTGTCTCAATAGGCTGTGAGAATTAGGATGACTTAACACCTCATGGAGGTGATGATCCTTTCCACAGATGTGGGTTGCCTTTTTAATGGTGAAAGTGGATCTGTGTTCTGAGCAGTGAGTTTTAGAAACTGCTTTAAGCTTCACTTTTAAAGTTACATTCCCCAAGTGCTCTGGTTCATTTATACATTTCTCAATGAATGGCCTGATGGTCAGCTTGGGTTACTGAACTTCAGCTGAAGGACCGAACAGAACAGTGAACCTACAACAGAGGTTCATGCGACAACTTACCCAGAAAGTTAATTAGTGAGGGATGACAGCCTCATATAGAAGTAGAGCACAAGAAAGGCGGTGTCAAGTGTTGTTGCAGAGATCCAGAGGCTGTTGTGAGTACAAAGAGGGAAGAGGAAATCCTGCCGTTGGGAAAGTCAGTGGAGACATCTTTGAGTAGGAGCAGAATCTAAGCAGGTGAAATTGAAGGGGATCAAGGTCGAGCTGATTGTAGGTCAGGGGAGTTGGGAGGTAAGAAGATGAGGGACATTTTCATGAAACCATTGTACCATGTGACAGTGGGCATAGGTTGTAGGCAATGGGTAGATGAGAATAGAAAGGACTTTGGACTTTTTGCTTTTGGCCTTGGTAATCCATTTATTCTTTTTATGTATTCATTCAGCAGATAGTCGTTGAACCCAGTGATGTATTGAGACAGTTTTCTAGGTGACTGGGATACATTAGTGAACAAAATTTATAAAGGTCTCTTCTTTTCTGGAGCTCACATCCTAGAAGGAGTAGACAGAAAAATTATATGGTATCCTAGACGGTGACAGTACCTCAGAAAAATAATTGAAAGTAGAAAAGGTAAGAGGATTGAGGAGGGGATGTGGGGGCTTGTGGTAGGATTACAATTTTAAATAAGATGGCCAGGGTATTGGTGACATCTGAGCAGACTTGAAGGAGGTTTGAGAAAGAGTTCTCTGAAAACAGCAAGATATGTGTCTGGTGAAGTTCAGGGAACAGCAAGGAGCGTAGTAGAGCTTGAGCCAATGTTTTGGAGCAGGGGACTAGTACAGTTTCTTCTTAGTTTTTTTTTTTTTTTATCCTCACCCAAGGACATTATTTCCATTTTTTTGTTCAGATAGAGTGGGAGGGAGAGGGAGGGAGAGAGAGGAAGAGAGAGAGAGAAAGAAACATCAATGTGAAAGGCACACATGGAGTGGCTGCCACTCGCATGACCCAACCAGGGCCGGGGACAAACTGCAACCGAGGTACATGCCCTTAGCAAGAACTGAACCCTCGCTGGACCGCAGGCCAACCAACGTTCTAACTGCTGAGCCAAACCGGCCAGGGCGTTTCTTCTTAGTTTTAAAGATTGTTGTTAATAATGAAGTGTAGGAGCAGGAGCTTGGTAGTTAGAGCTCCTTTAGAGAGGTGTTTTGATGGGTGTGACCTTCCCCAGAGACTTGGCTAACAAATACCTGAAGTGGCCCACGGTGGGAGGGTAATGGAAGTAGAGATGGGCAGTAGAGCGGGGATACTCTGAAAAATAATTAGGATGTGTAGGATCATTTGTATCTATATCTATGTAAACACTATGTATTCTTTTCTTCCTTGTATGTGTACTACATATTTAATTAGGAATAAAAAAAGGTGCTTACCATTCTTAAAGTTGAAACCACCAGAACAGTAAGAAATTGGAAAGTTTTATAAGAAAAAAACTACATGTGGAGACCAGATTTCTTGGTGTTCTACCTTCATGGGGAGGAAATGGAGAGTGACTGGCCTGGTGTCTTTTCATTTTAGATCCCAAGAGCTCTGTCGTTAAATCATCAGGTTGAACAGACCCAGCAGGCTCTTGTCACCTGAACTCAGAGAATATGCTCCTGGGCCATCAAGGGAAGCCAAGCCACTTGCTGAACTAGGTCAGAATATTTGCAGTCAGCGATATTCCAGCTCTCTCTGTTTGGAGGTCCCTTTTCTCAGCCTCTTCCTCAGCTAATTGGAGCTGGTCTTTTTTTTTTTTTTTTTTTTAATCCTCACCTAAGGACATTTTTCCATTTTTTTGTTCAGATAGCGTGGGAGGGAGAGAGAGAGAGAGAGAGAGAGAAACATCAATGTGAAAGGGATACATCGAGTGGCTACCACCCACACGACCAACCAGGGCCGGGGACAAACTGCAACCGAGGTACATGCCCTTAGCAAGAACTGAACCCGGGTCTCTGGACCGTAGGCCGACGCTCTAACTGCTGAGCCAAACCGGCCAGGGCAGGAGCTGGTCTTTAAGCCTCGGCTCAGACATTCCTTGCCCTGGGTAAAATCAGGTGCCCCTCCTTGTGCATTCTCATAGCACCTGTGCACACCTGTCATAGAATGATGTTTACCCATTCATCTCTATACTGGACTTTCATTTCCTTTAGGGCAGGACCATGTAGTTCCTTTCATCCCTTGTTCCAAAATATACATGAGTAAGTGGATGTCACACGAGCAAACATTTGTAATCACTTAGCCTCAAGCAGTAATTTTACACTTTCTACATTTTCTGCTCTGTACATGGCAAACATATTTTTCCAGTTATAGTGATCCTAATTTTTGGTGAAAGAATTGCATGAAACAACCGGACTTTCACAAAATGGTTTTAAGAAATTTTGTCTTTAAGACAATGTTAAGATGTCAAAGCCTGTTCCTCTAAGACCTGTTTCAAAACTATGATTCTTTTCCTGTCTTTTCTATGTCTTGTACTACTTTTTTTTCTCTTTAATCTTCACCTGGGGATATGCTTCCATTGACTTTCTAGAGAGAAAAATGGCCTTAGAAACATAAAATCAGCTGCCTCCCGCCCTCATCCCACTGTGGATTGAACCTGCAACCTAGACATGTGCCCTGTGTAGGAATTAAACCACCACCCTTCAGTGTACGAGATGATGCTCCAATCAATCGAGCCACCTGGCCAGGGCTATATTACGTTTATTTTATTAAAATATGTCTTATTAAAAGTATGTGAGCATAGCCCTGGTTGGTTTGGCTCAGCAGTTAGAGCATCGGCCGGTGGTCCAGAGACACCCGGGTTCGGTTCCCGCTAAGGGCACGTACCTCGGTTGCAGTTTGTCCCTGGCCCTGGTTGGGTCATGTGGGTGGCAACCACTCGTGTCCCTTTCACATCGATCTTTCTCTCTCTCTCTCTCTCCCTACCACTCTATCTGAACAAAAAATGGAAAAATGTCCTTGGATGAGGATTAAAAAGAAAAAAAAAAAGTACGTGAGCATATATATAATACATTTTTTTTGATCCTCACCTGAGGACATTTTTTCATTTTTTGTTCAGATAGAGTGGGAGGGGGGGAGAGAGAGAGAGAAACATCGATGTGAAAGGGACACATTGAGTGGCTGCCTCCCGCACGGATGAGGTCCAGATTTCCAGTTGGGATACTGTAAATGGTGATGCCTAAATAGGACATTTGTATTATGTGTTTAAAGGCTAACAGTAATTTTCTTCTTTCTGTACTCAATTGTTAGGTATGCTATTGACTTGCAACTTACCAATCTACTATGGTCTGGTATCAGAGAGCACTGACTACTTGAATAAAAACACCATACTGCCCCTGGCCAATGTGGCTCAGTTGTTTAAGTATCATTCTGTGCACCCAAGGGTTGTGGTCAGGGCACATGCCCCAATTTCAGGCTAGATCCCCAGTAGGAGGGTTGCATGAGGCAGCCAATCAATATTTCTCTCTCACGTAGATGTTTCTCTCTCTGTCTCCCTTCCTCCCTTCTTTGTTCCCTCCCTCCCTCTCCCTTTCTCTAAAAGAAAAAAGTAATGACAGTATTTGAAAAAAATAAATAAAAACACCATACTATATGCCAGTAAAATTAATGTGTTCTAATTGGGCAAAGTAACCTGGTCTTGAGGTGGTAGTTTTTATAAATTAGATTGATTTTACACATTAGCTGCCATTCTCTGGTTTTCAGTTTTGTAAAGTTTCAAAGTGAGTTACAGTGTGAG